CCATTGCACTCTGGCCTGGGTGACAGAGTCTCAAATGAACAAACAAACAAAACTAGAAACAAATGTCCTTCAACAGGAGAAAAGTAAAGGTAATATATGTATGCAGTGGATCTAAGATAGCAGTGGTTCTTAGCCAAGGGCAATTCGGCAATGTATGAAAATATTTTTAGTTTTTAAAACTGGGGACAGGGCTATTACTTCCATCAAACGGGTAGAGGCCAGGGCTGCTGGTGAATGTCCTACAATGCACAGAATAGACCCTCACAAACATGCTGAGGTTGAGCAACCTTGCTATATGGCTATGAAAATGAATGAACTACAGCTACATGTGCCAACATAATGAGCACAGAAGCACGCTGCAAATGGACACATGAAGTACCATACCATGAAGACAGAGTTCAAAAGCATGCAAAATCAAACACTATCTTTTTCTGTGTGTGTGTGATGGAGTCTTGCTCTGTTGTCCAGGTTGGAGTGCAGTGGTGTCATCTCTGCTCACTGCAACCTCTGCCTCCTGGGTTCAAGCGATTCTCCGGCCTCAGCCTCCTGAATAGCTGGGATTACAGGCACCTGCCACCACACCTGGCTAATTTTTGTATTTTCGGTGGAGACGGGGGTTTTGCTACGTTGGCCAGGCTGGTCTCGAACTCCTGACCTCTAGTGATCTGCCTGCCTTGGCTTCCCAAAGTGCTGGGATTACAGGTGTGAGCCACAGTGCCTGGTCTAAATACGATCTTATAAGGGAGAAATATGGTAAGCTGAAAGCACAGGAATAACCAACACAACATTGAGATTCCTAGATACCCTTGGGTCGGGGAAAGCTGGGACCTGTGACCAGGAGGGGCTGCAGGAGCATCAGAAGCAGAAGTAGTGATAATTTAGTCTGGGTGGTGGGCTCCCAGGCATATGCTTCTCAGTGTTCTCTGTTAATATGAACCAGTTCATCATAAGAATAATGTTAAGTGCATTGAGGCGATAGCCAGCTCTGCTATCCCCAGCCCCAGTATGTTGAGCCTCCCTCTTGCCTTGCTCCATCAGGTGATGGTGTGAGAAGATGTCAGCAGTTAAAGGGGCAGGGGGAGAATTTCCATGGCTCTGGTTGGGAAGTCATGGAAAGGCAGGGGTTCAGATGCTGAGAGCCCCCATCGATCTCTTTACTTCCATTCCCACTTGGCTCTGGCTCTGGCCTGCCTGACCTTAAAGCCCTCTCTCGCTGTCTGCTAGTCTCAGTGGATCTCCCCTCAAACCTCCTGTTGAGTGCTTTCTAATCACACACAAGTCTGGCCAGATCTCTCCTCTGCTCTAAGCCTTTCTGTGGCTCCCCACTGCCATCAGATGATACTTGAGGCTTTTTGCCAACACATGAGGCCCTTCGGGCTTCAGCTTCACCCTTGCCCTGTGATATCAGCGGTTCTAGGCAGCCGTCCTGTGCAGTGTGGACTTCCTGAGCTCCAGAAAGTTGCCTGGCACACTGGTTAACAGTGGGGATGAAGGAACCCATCCTGCCCTAGACCTCTCACTGCTGCCCCTGGGGGTCCAGCATGTAGGGAAACTGGTAGTCCCAGCTTCATGCAGTTTTCCCACCTATAAATGTGGGAGTTGAGACACATGACCTCTGAACTCTGTGTTCTTGAGGATCTCCATATTCTGGGCTGGACCCACCCCAAAAGGAAGAAGGTGGCAGTCCAGGACCATACCCAGAATCCTTTGTAGCACAGTCTGCCAGGGACAAGCATGGGGTTTCCTGGACAATCCTTGTTTCACTGGACCTCAGTGTTTGCCTCTGGAAAATGGGAAGACAGTCCTGGTGCAGAGGATGGGAAAGGAAGCATGGCTCCCCTCCCCAGAGCTTTGCAACAGCTCTGCCAAGTGGTTGACACTAGCTCTGTCAGGGAGGGCTTGGATGACAATACTGGGGCTCTGAGAGGACAAGGGACTAGTCTAGGGTCACCCAGCCAGACAGTGATGGAATTGCTGGGAGACTGAGCTAATGACATGCAGTGATCTATCAGTAGAAATAGCTGGAGAGCTCTGACCACAGGTGCCATCCAGAGGCATCAGAGTCACAGAGCCTTGGTCACAACGTGGAAAAGTCTGAAGCAGGAGGAACTGGGTGGTGAACATGGGTCCAGGCACCTTGCCGACACCCAGCATCACAGAACCAGAGTCACAGCGGAAGAGACACCACAGAGCATCCTCCCCATTCCTCCTCCTTGAGAAGGGAAACTGAGGTGTGGGAGATAGTAGTCTGTGGGGTCAGATACACTCCAGAGCTCAGATGGTCCTGGGTTCGAATCCTGATTCAGCCACTTGCTAGTCACGTGACCCTGGGCAAGTGACTTAACCTGTGTGAGCCTCAGTTTCTTACTCTATAAAATGGGAACAGAGGGTTCTTACCACATCAGTGAAGAGTCAGTGAGACAATCTAACTCTAGCACAGTGCTGGGTACCTAGAAAGTGCCCAGTCAACATTGTCCATATTAGTGACACTTAGCCACTTTTCAGTGGATCCTGACTTGCTGCTGGCAGCCTTTCAGGATGATACCTCATAGTCTGGCCCAGACCTGGTCAGCCACCATTGCCTCACTGTCCTGAAAAAGATTCAGCTACCACCACACACTCTGTTGGCCATACCAGAGTCCTTGGGTGTCCACAAGCCTCTGAACACTGCCTGTAAGTTCACGCCCAATGATCTGAGCTTCTTGGAGGCAAACAACCAAGCCAACAAGAACCCATGTTCAATCCTCGAAGGGCTAATGACACCTTCTCATAGGTTTATTATAACCCTCAAAAGATGGCAGGTTAGAATCATTGGCATATACCGAGTCCAGGATCAGTGGCAGGTGCTGTTGGTTATTGTCATTGTCATTGCTATTATTATTAGAGATCAGAGGCCCCAGGGAAAGGGCCCAGCTTCCTTCTGAGGCTTACAAAACCCTCCTCTGCCCAGCTCTATAGCTTAACCTCTTCCCGACTTTCCCCACCCTGCTGTTCCCTCCTGTATACCCCAGCTGCAAGGTATAATGGTGTCTCTCCACACCCCTCGCCTGCTCACCTTTGGGCCTTTGCTTGTACTGCTTCCTCCACCTGGAGCCTCCTCCCCACTCCACAAGACGACAAACTCCTTCAAGATTCAACTCCTCTAGGAAGCCATTCCCAGTGCCTGAGCACGCTCCTATAATGATGTGTTCTGCCCATTCTCGTTGGCGGTACTTACCATAATGCATTGCAATGTGTATATACATGCCTATTTAAATGTGTTTGTGCATAAATGCGTATATACTCATAGATTTCCTCTATGTTCACTGAACTAATGAATGAAAGTGCCCTTGGGAAAGGCATCTCCCTTCTGGGGCTCTGTTTTTCCTCACCTTCAAAATGAAGGCCTCAGACTCAGTCTGTCATGCACTGAGAGGTTTGACATTCACTCAGCAAACACCAAATGGTACCGCCTCTGGGGTTGGAGCTCAGAGCCCTAACCATGGAAAAGAGTAAGAAAGCCCATTCCCCCCGAAAGTGAGGGGTACACTCTGCTTGTCACCAGCTTGTACCAGCACTCCCCCAACAGGCCCTAGGTTTTGGAGTATTTTGTCAACCATGTGTTAGTGTCTATCATGTGTTAGTGTACCGGTTCTCAGCCCCTGCTGGCTCTCATAAATGAACATACATATCCTGGGAGATTCTTTTAAAAAACGGGGGTAGAATGTTGGTGGGGCACCTTTATTTTTAAAAGACTCACAACTACTTTTCCTGGGCACCTAGAGTATGATTGTGTTAGTGCACCATGATTTGGTTTTACTGTTTTCTTTTCTTTTGTTTTCTTTTTTTTTTTTTTGAGATGGAGTTTCGCTCTGTCGCGAGGCTGGAGCACAGTGGCGCGATCTCGGCTCCCTGCAAGCTCTGCCTCCCGGGGTCACGCCATTCTCCTGCCTCAGTGTCCCGAGTAGCTGGGACTACAGGTTCCCGCCACCACGCCAGGCTAATTTTTTTGTATTTTTAGTAGAGACGGGGTTTCACCGTGTTAGCCAGGATGGTCTTGATCTCCTGACCTCGTGATCTGCCCGCTTCAGCCTCCCAAAGTGGTGAGATTACAGGAGTGAACCACCACGCCCGGCCAGTTTTACTGTTTTTGTAACAAAGCAGAATTGTCATGACCAAGGGGCTTAAGAAGCAAAGTCACTGAGGCAGAAGGATTGGATTGCTTGAGCGCAGGACTTTGAGAACAGCCTGGCAAACAGAGTGAGTCCCTATCTCTATGGAAAAAAAAAAGAAGAAAAAAGAAAATAGCCAGGCATGGTATTGCCTATGGTCCCAGCTACTCAGGAGGCTGAGGTGGGAGGATCTCTTGAGCCTGGAGGTTGAGGTTGCACTGAGCCAAGATAGTGCCACTGCACTCCAGCCTGGGAGACAGAGTGAGACCCTGTCTCAGACAAAAAAAAAAAAAAGCAAAGTCACGTGACATTTTGGGCTCCTGGTTCTGTTGGGCTGTGAGTACTCCGGGGGCATGGCACCTACTCCTGGACCCTACGATATGGGCACTCCGGGAGGGGGCTCTGGCCTGGAAGTCCCTTTCCCTTCAGGACCCTGTTTCAGCCCTGGGCCCTTTCACCTCCTCTGGTCCTATCCTGTTTTGCCCAAGCATTCCCAGCCCTGGTGTGGGGAGCAGAGAGACCTTCTCTCAAGCCACCCAGTACCACCACCGCTAGCACTTTGTCTTTGTTCTACCCTGAGGACGTGTGCAAAGCTATCAAGACTCCACAGAGGAACTCTTGGTCCTTGGTCCACACAGCCTGTAGATGACGCAAATAAACCCCGTCTAGACAGAGGCTTCTCTTTTTTCTTGGGAGTTCAGTGGAAGCTGCTAGCTCTGGAGGATCAGGGGGCAGAGATAACAGGCCCGAGGAACCACCTGGAGCTGCGCGCGAATGGGGAGGGGGTTCTCACAAAGCACAGTGCTATCTCAGCAACTTCCCTGGTGAGCTGGTGGGCTTTTCCTATGGTGTATCCAACGTTTACACTTCAATCTCCCAGGAGCAACTCTGCACAGGCTTCATTCTGCAGGGAGCCTGCAAGGAGCTCCTTGAAGTTAATCTGGCTTCCTGGGGGTTAAGACAGACCTGCAGCTCCCCCAGGCAGAAGCTGAAAGCCCCTCCCTCTCTAAACTCAAACTGAGCTGTGCTGGGCCAGCAGAGCAGTGCCTCGGAGGGAAGGATATCCCCTCCCCTCAGGAGCTGGCTCACTTGGGCAGATCCTGGGAGACCCTCAGTATCCCTGGGTTTAACCTTGGAAGCTGTGCTCAGCCCATCCTCTCCCCACCACCCTCTCCTGACCATCTGTCTGGAGAGAGTGGCAAACGGGTGGGAGACGAGATATTGAATCTGGACCGCTCTGTGTACTCCCCTCCATCTCTTCTCCACATGTGGGTCAGGGTGAGCCTCTTAAAAAGGTAAACGAGGTCATGTTGTTTCCCTGCTAAAACCCCCACTGCCTCCCCAGCTGCCTTGGAATCATACATGATCTGGCCCCTCTAATCTCTGACCTCTGACCTCAGCTTTCACACCTCTTCCCTGGCCAACCCCCAGCCCCACTGGCCTTGGAACAGGCCCCTAACAGGCCAGCCCTAGGGCCTTGGTACTGGCTGTTCCAGCTACCTGGAATGCCCTTCCCCTTATCTTTGTACCTTGTCAATCAGACTTCAGCTTAGATGTGCCTCCCGACCTTCCTGACCGCTGGATCTAAAGTAACTGATTATGCTTTCTATGGCAGCAGCTCGACTTAATGCACCGCATAGCACTTAAGACAAGTTTTATTGTGATCTAGCTCGTCTGTCTTCTCCCCATCCTGCTCCCAGGACGCCAAGTCCCTCGCAGAGGGCAGTCCGGTGCCCTGCAGAATTCCCCGGGGCTGGAGCAGGCCCCGCGGCGAGTAGGCGCTGAGTACACAGCTGAATGAATGGCGTAGCAACTGTAAACGGGGCATCAGCTGCTGCGCGGGCGCGCGCTCCTGGCAGTGGGCCGCTCACTGCCGCGTGCGCGGGTTTGATCTCGTTGCAGGTTCCGGGGGAGGGACACCCCTCCACCCCGCCTGCCGGCGGTAGACGCGCCATAAATGCGCTTTGGAGACCGGAGGATAACGAGACAGACTTACAGGCAGTGGGAAGGACGGGGGTCCCGCGAGGGCCGCCGGTGGGCAGTTCTGTGGCCGGCTCGGCGCCCCCGGACCCCGGCGTTCAGGACCCTGTGGGAGACCTTCCCACCTTCCCAGTGCTTTCCACCCCGCGAACTACAGATTATCTCCCGAATCCCAGGGACTTAGCGGTCGAGTGGGCGGAGGGGGAGCGTGGCTCCGAGCGCCACTCCGGGCTGGGGGCAGGTTCCCGGCGCTCTCGCCCCATCGGGGCAGAGAGTACCGACCGCGCTGCGGGACGCGGCTGGCAAGGCCCTGGCCCTGCCGGGGCGCGGACACCAGTGCTTAGCTCAGCCCCGGGGTAGGAGTGGAGACGCAGCCCTGCTGCGCGCTCCGGCAGGAGACCCGGGTGGGGACGGGGGCGGAGGAGCCTGGGGGCAGGGAAGGGGACAAAGAGCCGCCCTGCCGCGGGGAAGAGCGACCCCCATGTCACAGTCCTATTGTTCGCTGAGTCTCCGACTGCCCTGAACTCTGGTGCCCCCGGGAGGGAGAAGGGGCGCCGTCGCCCAGATCGTGGGTATTTGTTTATCTGGGGAGAGGGAGGAGGGCGGGGGACGCGGGCCGGGGAGGGGGCTCGACTGCTATTTCTGCGCGTCGCCTTTAAGGGAAGCCCGGCCCTACCTTTCCCACCGTCCCCCTCCCCGCAGTCGTACCTGCATTTTAAAAGCGCCCTGTAGCCCTGGGATTGGCCAAGGCCGCGTCCTCTGGGCGCAGAAACTTGAACCGCCGGGAGCCGGCTGCGGGCGGGGGTCGGAAACCCCGCGGATGGACCGTACCACCCCCGCAGCTCCCCCCACGCGCGCCCCGCCCCTCCCGCACACCCCCGGAGCGGCCCAATCGCACGGCCGGGAGGGCGGGACCGCGGCCGGAACGCGCCTCTGAGAGGGCACCGGCCGGGCGGGCGCAACGCGCAGGGGGACGGCGGGGGCCGCGCCTCTGCTCCCCCGTCGCCCTCGGGGGCGGGGCCGGGCCTCGGAGCCCCGCCCACTCTCCGCCCGGGGTGGGCGGGGCGGCGGGGGCTCCCGGAGCTGGGCCGGGGGCGGGCCTCCGCCTGCCTCGCCAGAGCCCTGAGAGCGCCCGGCTCCGCGGCCGCCGACGCAGCAGCCGCCTCCACTCGTCAGCCCCGAGGCGCGCGGGCTCCCGGGCAGCCCCGGCGGGCGCGGCGAGAGGGCGCGCAAGGCGGCGGGGCGAGCCGCACGCGCCCCCGGCCGCCCCCCGCCCGCGCGCGGACCGGCCCAGCGGAGCCCCGGCGCGGGGAAGCGCCGGCCGGGCGAGGGCGATGCCGCGGTGACGGCCCCGCCATGGCGAAGCCCGCAGCGACGGCGGCGGCGGCGTCGGAGGAGCTGAGCCAGGTGCCGGACGAGGAGCTGCTCCGCTGGAGCAAGGAGGAGCTGGCGCGGCGGCTGCGGCGCGCGGAGGGCGAGAAGGTGGGCCTCATGCTGGAGCACGGCGGCCTGATGCGCGACGTGAACCGGCGGCTGCAGCAGCACCTGCTAGAGATCCGCGGCCTCAAGGACGTGAACCAGCGGCTGCAGGACGACAACCAGGAGCTGCGCGAGCTCTGCTGCTTCCTCGACGACGACCGGCAGAAGGGGCGCAAGCTGGCGCGCGAGTGGCAGCGTTTCGGGCGCCACGCGGCCGGCGCCGTGTGGCACGAGGTGGCCCGCTCGCAGCAGAAACTGCGCGAGCTCGAGGCGCGCCAGGAGGCCCTACTGCGCGAGAACCTGGAGCTCAAGGAGCTGGTGCTGCTGCTGGACGAGGAGCGCGCGGCACTGGCGGCGACGGGGGGCTCAGGGGGCGGCGGCGGCGGCGGCGGGGGCGGCGCCGGCTCCCGCAGCTCCATCGACAGCCAGGCCAGCCTGAGCGGGCCGCTGGCGGGTGGCGCGCCGGGCGCGGGGGCCCGCGACGTGGGCGACGGCAGCAGTACGTCCAGCGCGGGCAGCGGCGGCAGCCCGGACCACCACCACCATGTCCCACCCCCGCTGCTGCCCCCTGGGCCGCACAAGGCCCCCGAAGGCAAGGCAGGAGCAACACGTCGGTCCCTGGACGACCTGTCGGCGCCGCCGCACCACCGCAGCATCCCCAACGGTCTGCACGGTAAGGACTACACGGGCCAGGCAGCGCGGGTCTCCCTGGCTGCAGCCCCTTCCCCAGGCTGCAGCGAGAGGAGGTGGTCCCTGGCGGTCCCACTCGTGCGGCCGCCACTCCAGACTCCTCCTCCAGCTGTCATGGATCCTGGACCAGGGCGTCCCGCACCCACCCGAAGTGGGGCTTTGGGCGGTTGTGGGCCGGTCCAGTGGTGGAGCGTCTTTCTGTCCAGCTCAGAACCTGCTGCCGGTCCGGTCCCAGGAAAGTTTCTAGCGGGTGTAGTTGCCAAAATTGGCGTCTGTCACTGCTGGGCTGGTGGTGGGCGCCTCATCCCAGCCTTGGAAATCCTTTCCTAGTAGCGGGAAGTTCTGAACAGAAAAGGATACAAGGCCTCTTTGAGCGCAGGTGAATTTCCCCTCTTGCAGCAACAGGTGTCCTCCAAGCCAAGCAGTGTCCACGTGTGTGCAGTGGCTGGAGTTCTGCAGTAGGGTGTGGGGATTGGGAGGGTGCACAGGCAGCTGCTTGACACCCAGGGGCAGCTGGGAAGAGGCCTGGGGCTCAGAGCCTTTCTGGTTTGCCATAAATTCCGTCCTTCTAGTCCCGGGACCTTTCTCAGCCGAGACTCTAAGACTTTCCCGAGGGAGATGTATTTGGAACGGATTCTAGTTTTTCTCCTCTGTCTATCTCCGTTTCTTTGTCTGTAAAATGGAGATGATGACCTCTGCCTCGTGGATTTGAGGTGGAGATAAACCTTCTGAAGGGATTTATAAACTGTTGGTCGCCTTATAGGAAGTGCCATGGTCATCCGTGACCAGGGTGTGGGTGGGAGGACCTTTGGCCTCTGTCAGCGCCTGTCTTCCACGCCCATGTTACTGCTGCGCCCAGTGCAGAGGGTGGCCCCAGCTTGGGGCTGTGGGAGCCTGCAGCCTACTCCCTCTCCCAGCCCCCTGCTCAGCCCTTCTGCTCCCTGCCGGCTTTCTCATCCCTGCCGGTGGATCCAGGGCCTCCCTGTTCTTACACGTTTTTTGGTTGCTTGGCTTCCAGTTCTGCTGGTAGTTACAACTGCCTGAACTTTTTGCCTGAAGGTGGAGAATGAACAGCCCTTTCTCGTTGCCTTTAAAGCCTTTCCTAATTCAGAGAAAGTGTGTCTAGGCCTGAAATAACTAACTGCCCTCCCCAGGACCCCTCAGCCTGAGCTGGGGAGGGACGTTTTCTCCTTGGTTTGGTGGCCAAGTGGCCTCTGCAGTCGTGATGGGGTGGGGGCTGGGGTGGGAGACATATCCATGGAGGTGGGGCGGGGGCAGTGCAGCATATTTTTCCTTTATTTACCATCCTGAGCCTGTGGGTTCAAGGTAGGACTGACTGGGTTTAGAGGGATATTTTGTTACTGATTAGCAATCTATGGCTACAACTCAGGTTTCTCTTTGTAACACTGTATCCACCCCCACCTCCCACCACAGGCTGCTTGAGGGCAGTGAGAGTAGTGCAAAGTTAGGTGGTTTAATTCGTTGGGGCTGTTTAGAGCACCTCAGCCCCTTTGACTTCCCCGTCCTGGCGGGCTTTTGAAGGGTCAGTTATCTGGGCCTCGGTTTCCCCAAGGGCAGTACAAAGGAGCAGACTGCTGCAGTCTCGTGGCTGGAAAATGAAATGTTTCTGGTTTTCAGCTGCGTCATCAATGACACTTGGCGAGAGTGCCTCTCTGCAGGACACTGGAGGGCTGGAGTGTTTAGAGCATACTTGCAGGAAAGTCTCTGTCATGTTTTGGGCAAAGAGATGCGGCCCCAGTCTGGCTCAGCGTGTCAGCTGCGAGAGTGAAGAATACAGGAGTGGAGGACTAGGCTAGACCGAGTTTTCCACCCCACTGGGGACCAGTGGGGGGTTGAAGTATAGGGTTTCCCACAGAACCCATCCTCCCCCAAGTCCAGTTAGCACAGGACTGCTGCAAATGTTGTGGCAGCAAACCTTTGCTCTGGGGTGAAATGAAAATTCAGCATTATTATTACAAATTTCAGTTACAGTTGGAATTATTATTATTAAGTTTTGTCTCTTAAAGACACATGTGGCCTTGGGGTGTTGTCCCACTAATATAAACAGAATGCTTGGAAACCAGGAAAGGCCCTTCTCTTAGAAACTGAGTTTTTCTTTCTTTCTTCCCCCCGCCCACCCTTTTTTCAAGACAGGGTGTCACTCTGTCACCCAGGCTGGAGTGCAGTGGAACACTCATGGCTCACTACAGCCTCAACCTCCCAGGCTTAAGTGATCCTCCCAGCTTAGCCTCCCAAGTAACTGTGATTAGAGGTGTGAGCCACCTCTCCTGGTGAAACTAGGTTTTTCTATTCTGGGACTTGTAGCTTTAAATTGAACAAAGATTGGGCCTGAGCTGAGGGAGATGATGAATCTCTCTCTGGGTGGTGTCTAAAGTGGGGTCAGACACCAGGCTTGCGCCTCATGTGCTTGGTCTTTGCTTCTCCTCAAAGGAACCCTGGGGAAGCAGTATTATCCCCATTTTACAGACAAGCAAGTGGAGGCTTAGAGGGGTTCCTAGCCTTGTCTGGGAAGGTGGCTGACATTGGAAGTACCTGTCCTGGGTGGGTTTGCCGCCATGATCATCTCCTGTTCAGGCCGTGGGTCTGAATCTGTTGTGCCCTTGGCCTGTTGTCATGTTTGCTGTTACTGTTAATCAGGGGACACTGGTGACTCCCTATTCTTGATTCCTGACCCAGGTTTGCCCTCTTTCTCCTGTGCTGGGAAGTGTCACTTCCTTATCAGCGACCACTAAGCAGATGGCTGATAACCCCATTACCCAGACGCTCAGGGTGTCTTGAGTTTGAATCTCAGCTCCTCCATGTATATTGGGCAAGTTATTAATTGGCCAAGCCTCTCTGTGGTCCTCTTCTGTAAGGGGGACAGAACCCAGAGTACCCCATTATCCACACAAGGTTGAATGAGGTCAGGATCTACACACAGTAGGTTTCTCCTGTTGTTAGAGTCCTTGCAGCTCTCCCAGCACACCTCGTTTTCCTCTTCAAAAGCGCTTGCTGCTTAGACAGCTCACCTGAATGTTTGTGTCTGAGCCTCTTGTGTGGCCGCGCTTGCTGATGAGCTAGTGAGGACAGTGGCCCTGCTCGCCTTTCTGGGGAGCTGGTAGCAGTTGCAGCCCTGCTGGGTACCCTAGGAGGACTGTAGTGGCTGAGGTGGGAGGTGGCCCATCTGTATGCAAGGCAGCCCTGGCTGAGGCTGGCCTGGCGGGCCTGTGTATGGTGTATGTACATGCAAATAGGCTTTTCTCCTTGGCTGCTTTGTTTGTTTGTTTATTTATGTATTTATTTATGCATTTATTTATTTTGAGACAGGGTCTCACTGGTCACCCAGGCTACAGTGCAATGGCACTACCATGGCTCGCTGCAACCCCAACCTCCTGGGCTCAAGTAATCCGCTTGCCTTGGCCTCTTGAAGCTGCTGGGATGACAGGCATGTGCTACCATGCCCAGATAATTTTTGAATTTTTGTAGAGACGGGAACTCACTATGTTGCCTAGGCTGGTCTCGAACACCTAGGCTCAAGCAGTTCTCCTGCCTTGGCCTCCCAAAGTGTTGGGATTACAGACATGAGCCACTGTACCTGGCCTTGGCTGCCTTTGGTAGACGTCTGGTCTGGGCTGACTTGGGACTGGGGTGCGCTTTGCTGTAGTCCAGTGTGGCACACTGAGGCAGGTAAACCCCAACACCAGAAAGTCAGGTTCTCCTTCATGAACTGATAGAATTTTCAAACACAAGAATTTTCAGTTTTTTTCCCACCTGCCCCTCTGCCTGTCTCCTGTGCCCCACCACAGGCACCATGCCCCCGTCCTGCCCATTCCCAGGCATTTCCTCCCCTTCCCTGATAACCTCCTCCTCCACGGTCCACTCCCCTTTAGCCAACCCGGAGGAACCAGGATTCTAGCAAGCCCGTAGATGAGACCCATTTACCTTTTAAAGTTTGGATTAAAATTTTGAGCTTCTCAAAATGAGACAGGTTTGTTCTCCTGCTTGTGTTTTTGTTGGTTTAAGAGGGAGGATGCAACGGGGTGGTCTGGGCCTTTAAAAAAAAGAGCACGCTAACTCTGAATAGGTCTTTTCTGTGCAGCAGCTCGGCTAATAAGGCTGCTTTTCCTAAACCCAGCTAGGCTGGGGAGCAAAGGTCAGTGAAGACAATGGGGTGGGTTAGATAAGCCTTTCCCCCTCCTCCTTCCCCAGCCTGTCCCAAGGGATCCATCAATGGCCTTGGGATGCTGTGCCTCAGAAAGGAGGGCTGGCCTTGAGAGGCTCCCAGGCAGGTGACCCAGGGGTGGGTAAGCTGTGCCCGATGCTTCACAGTTTGCCACAGACAGCATCCCAGTCCCAATTCCATTCTGTTCAGAACTTCCAAATGGTCCCAGGAGGGAGACCTCAGCATCTCCATATCTTAGATGGGGAAACCAGGGCTTGGAGTGGTGGTGCGGTGACTTGCTCTAGGTCCTGTGGGGCTGGTTGGGGGGCCTGGGATGCGTCTTCGGTTTCCTGTGTCAGAGTTCTGAGCCCATGGCCCTGTGCCTGCTGCCCAGGGACTTCCAGGGGAGCGGTGACCTCTGCCACAGAGACAGTGCATCTCCTCCCAGGATGCCAGGCCCTGGGCCTCATTCCTGTCCCCCTGTGTCTTGGCATGGAGGAGTGGGGCGAAGGCGGTGCAGGGCGGGCCACCTTCCCTGCGATGGCTGTCCCTCTCCACCTCTTGGTTTCTCTTTCCCTCACTTCTCTGCACGAGGCTGGCTTGCCACCGCAGCAGTTGCCCCACCAGACCCCTTGCTCAGGCCTGGCCTGTGAGTTCCCAGGACCAGCACATGATACACAAGGAAATCAGTGGTTTGCTCCTAATCTGTTTTCCGCCCGTGGGGATTTTCCAATCCATGCTTGTTGCCGTCATTTGCGCAGAGAATTGGAAGTCTGTTAGGCAAGTTCCTGAGCCTCCACGGGCCTCTGTTTTCTCTTCTG